GGTGCCCTTGCCGGCCGGGGCCGGGGGGTCGGAGAGGCCGGTAGCACGCGTGGGACACAGCGCGCGGCTGTGGCGGAGCGCCCGGGGCAGCGCGCGGGCGGGGAGGACGCCGCCTTCTCCACGTGCGGCGGGAGCCGGGGGTCTTCCCGCGAGGGAGGCGGCACCTGACCCCGCGGTGAGTGACGCACTGGCGCCCGGGGGCCCTGCCCGTAGGGGTGTAGGGTCGCTGGAGATGGTGGCATTTTTTATAAATGTATTTTGTTGACTTGATAGAGGAAGGGAGAGAGAGACAGAAACATCAGTGAGAGAAAAACACGCCCCCCACTGGGGTCCAGCGCAGCCGGGCACGTGCCCTGACCAGGAATCGAACCCGTGACCTCCTGGTTCACAGGTCGAGGCTCAACCACTGAGCACACCGGCCCGGCTCAGGCATCCTTTCAGCGGTTCTCAACCTTCCTAACGCCGCGACCCTTTAGTACCGTTCCTCATGTTGTGGTGACCCCCAATGTCATTGTCACAAATTGAACATCATCAAAGCATAGTGATTCATCACAAAACAATATGTATTTATATGTGTGTTTTCCGATGGTCTTAGGCGACCCCTGTGAAAGGGTCGCGACCCCCAGGTTGAGAACCGCTGCTTAGGTCCTCCTGAAGTTTGGGAGGATCAGGGTCGCTATCAGGCTGCGGCCGAGCTGTTAGGAGCTGTGTGTGTGTTTTCAGGTCTTGCCGTCGAGGCGGACGTCTAGGGGCGAGTCGGGCGGAGAGAGGCTCTGTTAGCACCTGGGCGTCGCCGGGGATGGGAGGAGAGAGCGCGTTTGGTGCCGGTTGGGGCGGGTGCGGGTGGGCCGCTCCTGAGGTCTCTCCGGAGAAGGAAGCAAACGCGAGAGCCGGCTGAGGTGTGGGGCCTGGTGGTGGTTGACTCGTGGGCAGGGGAGGAAGAGGGTGCAGGAGGCGGGGTGGGCCCCAGCACCCGAGAGCAGCATTTGGCCTTGGGGGAGCCTGCAGTTTCCATGGCAACGGGAGAAGGACAGGTCCCAGGACCTAGGAGCTTGTGGCAGTCGGTGATAGGGAGTTAAGGCCTTCCGCTGAGAATGGGGGGGTGGGGGGATGACTTTGGAGCTGGAGAGGTCAGGAGACCTGGCCCGTGGCTGCAGTTGGGAGAAGCGGGGGGATTCCTGGGTGGCACTGGGGAGCGCCCTGGGGCTGGGGAGACCCGCCAGCCTGGTCCTGGGGGCCTCCAGCCGCTGGCACAGGTCGCGGAGTCGGGGTTTTGCCCGAGAAGGAGCCGAGCGCCTGCGAGGGCGAGATTGTAACGATGGACATGGGCCTGTGGTTGTGGAAGCGGAATGAGGAGGGCGAGGAGGCTTGCAGAGGGTGAGCTGGAAAGAGCGAGAGATGGGGGTGGGCTTGGTGGGTGGGGTGCTTGTCATCACAGGGTTTAGAGCTTGGCTGGGAGGGGAGCAGAAGGGCAGGCGGGGAGGCCATGCGTCTAGGTGGGCAAGTCCGAACTGGAATAGTCCTTCATCCAAGTGGGCAGAGCGCAGCCACCGGCCTGGGCGCGGCCCCTGGGACTGGCCCCCTAGACCTAGAGGACGGTGGGGCCCAGACCCTCCCTCAGGGGCCTCTGCCCTGGGAGTTGGGAGGTGCCCTTCCCGTTACAAAGCGGCTGACCGGTTCCTATCCCACCGGCCGTGAGAGGGAGCTCTGGGTCCTCGGCATCCTCCGCGTCTGAGAGCCGGCCCAGCGACTCAAGCGGCCTGGCCTGTGATTGGCATTTCCCGAATGACAGTGATGTTGAGCATCGTTCGTGTGCTTATTGGCCATTTGTGTAGCTTAGGGAAATTTTATATTCACATCTCTTTGCCCGTTTTTAAATAAGACTATTTGTCTTTGTCTTTTTTTTTTTTTTTTTTCTGAGTTGCAAGAGTTCTGACACCTTCTGGGTACAAGTCTCCGGTCAGATATGAGCCTTGCGTGCATTTTCTCCCGTTCCGTACGTAGGCTGCCCTTTTATTGTCTTGTGTCATTTGCAGCACAAACCTTTTTAATTCTGACCGGTCACTTACCTGTGTTTTTCCTTTTGGTGTCGTATCTAAGAAGCTGCTGTCAAGGCCATGAAGCGCTGCTCCTGGGTTTTCTTTTTAGACTTCGGTTGTTTGGCTCTCACGTTTAGGTTTTTACCCTTTTTGAGTGAGCTCTGTGGGGTGTGAGGGAGGGCCCCACTCCGTCCGGTGCATGTGGACGGCCAGCTGTCCCAGCTCCACTGTGGAAGAGGCTGCTCTTTCCCATCGAATGGTCTCAGCCCCTTGTCGATGGCGCGTTAACTATCGGTGGAAGGAAGTGGAGTTTTCTATACAAACATTGTCTCAGATTCATGAGTTGCCATCTCTTGGAACTATTAAAAGAAACCTTTTTATAATGTGGAAGCCTTTTCCCCCTTTTAGCAAACAGACTTGGTGGTTAAACTTTTTAATGATAACTTACAGAATGAATATAGATTTAACTTAACTTTTATGGTAACTGTTATGTAAATATTTGCTAAACCAGTGGTTCTCAACCTTCTGGCCCTTTAAATACAGTTCCTCATGTTGGGACCCAACCATAAAATTATTTTCGTTGCTACTTCATAACTGTCATGTTGCTACTGTTATGAATCGTCATGTAAATATCTGATATGCAGGATGGTCTTAGGCGACCCCTGTGAAAGGGTCGTTCGACCGCCAGAGGGGTCTCGACCCACAGGTTGAGAACCGCTGTGCTAAACTTTTCTTATTTCTTCAACAAGGTAATTGGCTGGCAGAGTTCTTTGTCTTTCAAAGCCCCTTTGTCAACAGTCGTATTCTTTCCAGATTTCTTATCACAGTGCTAATTATGCTTTTCAAGTATAGAGCCTTGAGAAAAGCAAGATAAAACTGAGCTGTAAAAAAATAGTTCCTGGTAACCCCACCCCTTGGGCAAAGGCTTTGTTGATGTCCACAGGCATTTTCATGGCCAGGGGAATACACACACACACACACACACACACACACACACACACACACAGTGGTACTACACATAGTGTTCTACATTTTTCATCCTATATCTGTAATGCGTTCTCATTTACTGTGATTTTTAAAAGATGTTTTTATTGATTTCAGAGAGAGGAAGAGAGATAGAAATATCCTTGATGAGAGAGAATCATTGATTGGCTGCCTGCTGCCCTACCTGCCGGTCGACGCTCACCCACTGAGCCACATGGCCAGGGTGTTGTGATTTTTGAATGGATTCCATTGCACTGGTTGATCCTGATTGACTTATTCAGTCCCTTGTTGCTCTGTGATGGGGTTATTTCCACTAAGGAGGAAGTGCCGGGAAATGCACGCGTGTGTCTGCAGGCTGGTCACCATGTGGTCGCAGCTCTAGGGGCGCCTGTCCACGTGGCAGCGTCTGGGCAAAATGCTCCTGTTTTCAGCTCCTTTTTAGGCTCCACCCAAAGGGGCCGGAAGCCGGTGGGGGGGAGGCCTTCTTCCTGCTCTGGCCCCCCCCCCCCCCAGCACCAGCAGCTGGAGTTGGTTCCGTTCCTGCTTCTCCTTCCGAAAATCAGCCTGGTCCCTTCATACGTCCCCACTCAGAGGTCCCGAGCCTCCGACGTGCCTCTAGGGTCCGGGCCTCCACCGTTCCTCTGGGTTCCCCAGGCCGTGGCCACGAAGGCGCCTGGATTAGAACCCGTGGGCTTTTCTCTGTTCTTGCGGGTGGAGCTTGGTCCTGTGGAGCTGGAGAAAGCAGACGCACCGGCTCCCATGCAGCCCTCGCCACATGTCAGCCCTTATTGGCCCAGGCGCTGCTGCTTCCTCGCGCCATGCAGCATGGGCTCCATGTGTGAGCAGCCCAGTGCTCTGGTGACAGCATGAATGTGGCCCCTGGTGCGAGTCAGTGTAATCGCAGGAAATAAAAATAACCCCAAATGGTCAATAATTGGGGAATAGACACATTTTTGTAATTTGCACTTTTGGAGAATTTTGATTGTCATTACAATGATATTTCTCTTGCCCTAGCTGGTTTCCTGAGTGGTTAGAGCAGCGGCCCTTGGACTGAGGGTCGCAGGCTTGATGCTGGTCCAGAGCCTCGGTCCCAGGCTTGATCTCCGGCCCCGGTCGAGGTGCATGCGGGAGGCAGCCAGTCGATGTGTTGGGCCTTTTCTCTTAATGTTAAAAAGCTTCGTGTTCGCGTTTAGTTAGAAATACAGAATATAGCCCAGCCCACGTGGCTCGGTTGGTTGAGCATCATCCCATGCACCAGGAGGTCGCGGTTCCATTCCCAGTCAGGGCACATGCCGGGATGGCAGCTCGGGCGTGCAGGAGGCAGCCTGTGGATGCTTCTCATTGCTTCCATCTCTCCCTCTCCCTTCCTCTCTGAGAAGTCAAGTAAAAAAACACAAACTTACAAAAAAAGAAATACAGAATATATACAGGGTGGGGAAATTAGATTTACAGCTGTGAGTAAGCGAAACAGTTTATTCTTGTGTTATTATTTAGTAATTATTGTATCATTTCTCATACGAAGAACTGTAAACCTACTCTTGCCGACCCTGCCTGTTAAAACCTCAGAAAAGAGAAAGGCATCCACCAAATCAGGGGTCCTCAAACTGCGGCCCGCGGGCCACATGCAAATACAAATACTGTATTTGTTCCCATTTTGTTTTTTTACTTCAAAATAAGATATGTGCAGCGTGCATAGGAATTTGTTCATAGTTTTTTTTTAAACTATAGTCCGGCCCTCCAACGGTCTGAGGGACAGTGAACTGGCCCCCTGTTTAAAACGTTTGAGGACCCTGCACCAGATGGTTGGGTTGGTTGTCGGAGGCGATGACGCTGGGCGATTGGCCTCCTGTCACGTTTACACGTGCTCCGTGCTCCCCGAAACACCTTTGTGCTTCACATGGGAGCACGTACAAGCATGGTCCTTCCCGTCTGCTTTCCTGGGGCAGGATGGCCGCGCCGAAGAGGAAGGCTCCCGGGACACCCGGCGCGCCAGAGAAGAAGAACAGGAAGTTGAAGAAGGCGCCGGCAGCAGAAAAACCGCCGGCAGCAAAGAAACCTCTGGCACCCGCAGCCCCACAAGGGTCCACGGAAGCCCGACCTGAGGTAGGTGCAGCTCACGCGGCCTCACCGTGGCCTAACCTGGAGGGACAGGTCGGGCCGTGCTGCTGGCATCTGTGGGTGGCGCGGAGGATGGCACTGGGTACGTGTGGGCAAGTCCAGGGTCCTCCGGACGCACTTCGGACAGACAGGAATCTCATCACTCTTAGGTGGGAACACCATGACTGTCCTTCCGCCACCAGATCTGTGTTTCCAGGGGATTTTGATGGCTCCACCGAGGCGCCAGGTGGTGAGGGCTGGAGCGGGGCCTTTGGGCTGTGCACAGGGACCAGGGTGGCCCGGAGCGCGGCCAGGGAACCTGTGTGTAGGAATTCGCGTCTAAAAGTGTCTCATCTTAGCGGAGTGTAATCCTGCCGCAGAAAATGTGTGCCGTGCCTGTTACCGCCACGTTCTGAGTGAGGTGTTGCTCCTGGTGTGCGGTGGTCAGAGCAGCGGGAGATGCAGAGTCAGTCACGTGAAGGCAGGTTTGCTGACGGAGTCACGCCGTGCCGCAGAGGGTGGCGGGTAACCTCACGCGAGCCCGTGCAGTGCCGTGTGGTCCCGCCTCGTGTCAGTGATCTGATCCCACGAACTGAACAGCTGGGCGCTCTGGCATGGCCACGGGCTGCTCCCTAACTCCTGGCCGGCAGGTTACCCGGTAGAGACCTGCCGTCACACAGCTGGCCAGGCCGTCTCCAGCTCCCTCGGAAGGAAGGCTGGGAACCCTCTGCTGGGCCGCGGGGCTTGTTGCTGGCAGCATGTTTGTTCCCTTCCGCACCGTGTTTCAGACCAGCCAGTGGCTGTGCCCCAGAGGGCTCCTGCCCCAGGGCAGGTGACAGGTAGCCTTTGCTCAGGACATGGGGGAAGGTTGTCGTGCAGGGGGACGAGGGGCAGGAGAGCAGGCCCTCGGAGCCACTTAGAGCAGATGTCAGCACGAGTGTGTGTGGCATCTGGGCCTGGGAAAGGGTTCCCCGGGGCCACCGTGGAAGTCTAGAGGTGCTCAGCGTCTGATGCCTGGGGTCGGGTCACTCCAGGACTCCATCCGGTCGGCAGCTCTGCTCTCAGGAGGCAGCGTGCACCGGTTTGGCCGGCCGGCTGGGCAGCAGAGGAGGGCGGGGTATGTGAAAGAAGGTGCCTGGCTTAGCTGGGCTGTGGGGCAAGAGGCCAGGCCAGCACCCAGGACCCCCACTTGTCCTGCGTACCCTGAGGACCTACAAGGTGTGGGGATGCACGGAGCCCAGGCAGCTCTCCTCCTGCTCCCACGGCCCCTGGGTCAAGGGCCCTTGCTTTTGTGGCCACCTGCCTGGCTGTGGGTGCAGCCACCCCAAGGCCCTGGGCCTGCTGGCTCACTCTTCTCCCCTCTCCACCCCGGGTCCCGGGTCCCGGGTCCCGGGTCCCGGGTCCCGGGTCCCAGGTCCCAGATCCCAGATGGAAACTGCTTCCTACAGCCACTCAGGCTCCGTGGCCAGCACCCCGTTCTTACGGAGCCTCGGTCACTCCTGTGGCTTTCGTGGACTGTTTCTGTGACACTGTCCTGCTTTCTGGGCCCTCCCGTTGCTTTAAGTGAACTAACTGCACACGCCGCCTTGCGATTGAGTTTTGTCATAAGAGTCTCAGCTTCCCCCGTCACTGCAGGACCACGCGCGGCTTTATGGTAAATAGGGCCCGCGTTACAATTTCTGGCGGGGGGGGGGGGTGCTCTTTTTGTTAAAAGTGATTGTCTTTCGTTATTAAAGTTCATGTTGGTTAAGAGAAATCTGGGAAGCGAAGGAGAAAAGCAAGCCTGTGGTGGGTCTCTCCCATGTCCTGTGGCGCCCGGGTGTGCGCTGTCTGCCTCCCAGGGGCAGGCCCTGGCGGTCCCGGCCTTCGGTTCAGTGTCCGCCAGGTGCCAAGGGTCCAGCACAGGAGGCGGCCTGTGAGAGAGAGCGAGCCAGCGGACAGCCCCGGAGGCCCCCCCGAGGCCTGTGTAGCCCCACCTGGCCAGCGGGGCGCAGGGGCTGCTGGTTCCCCCACAGGTGCTGGGCCCAGCGGGTCGGGCACTTGGAGGGTTTTGGGTGCGTCTCAGCGAGTCGGGTCGGCTGGGGCTTGTGTCCTCAGGACCCTTCTTGTCTTGTGAGGCCAGTCTCCCAGGAGGTGGAGTCGCTGTCCCGAGAACACTCCCTGCTCCGCTGACAGCAGTGCCTCTCCGCTCGCGCTGCTTCTCGTGGGAAGGAGGGAAGAGGGGCCGGCGTTGCTGAGGGACAGCGCTGACCGCCGCACCTGAGTTTACGGAGGGTGGCCGCCTGGCCGGGGAGCGCCTCCCGGCACTGGGAGCTTGTGGAAAAGTACCGTGCCCCTCCCGCCCCCGTCCTGGAAGAACCTCTGGAATCCAGTGGAGAAGGGAGACGCCTCTGTCCCCAGGGGCCACTGTGTTGTCCTCCCGGAAATGTCTGTCTGGGCGGCCTGCGGGTCCCCATGTGGTCACTTCCCACAGCACCAGCGCCCTGGACCTGTGCCAGGATGGCTGAAGCATCCCACGTGGTGGTAGTTCATTGCCCCTGGGGGTGTCCCCGAGTTAGAGTCCCCTCCCCAGTTCGGCCGCGGGCTGTGTCTGCTCCTCTGACTGGTCCAGCTTCCTCCAGGGTCCATGCTGGCGCCCCTGTGCTGCTCCGGCCGTGAGGGCCTCTGCTCACTTCTCGCTTCTGGGTTTGCTCAGCTCACTGGCCATTAACCTGCACTGGCCCTTGTGAGCCTGGACTAGGGAGAGGTGGGTGCTCTGTGGAGGCCTCAGCGTCGCCGTGGTAACCATCTTGCAGAGGACCTGAGAGCGAGGGCCTTTGGATGGGCCTCTAGGCCCCTGAGCTGATGCTCTCCAGCAGGCCTCAGCGTGCGCCCTGCCCTCCCTCCCCTTCCCACAGCTGCTTTTTTTTAAAGTATGTTTTTATTGATTTCAGAGGTCGACGAAGGGAGAGGGATAGAGAGATAGAAACATTGTTGAGAGAGTCATCAATCGGCTGCCTCCTGCATGCCCTTACTGGGGATGGAGCCCACAACCCAGGCATGTGCCCTGACCCAGAATGGAACCAGTGGCCTCTTGGTTCATGGGGCAACGCTAACCACTGAGCCACACCGGCTGGGCCTCAGAGCTTCTTGAACCTTCCTCGTGAGCCTGCACTTAGGGGCAGGACAGAACCGGTCTCTTCCTTGAATGAAAGGGTTGTGAGGAGCAAATGTTCCATGAACAGGGTTGAGACGGGCTGCTGGCTCGGGTGCGTTTGGGGTTGGGAAGGGAGGGCTGGTGCGGGTTGGCCTCCTCCCCCCGCCGCTCTCCCTGAGCACATGTGTAGCCTGTCTGTTCTGCCCCCGACGCCCAGCCCCCGAGGGAGACAGCGCAGCTCCTGTCACCCTCGAGCCGGTCAAGCGTCTGCACTTGGTGGTCACCCGGCCGAGCACCCCTCTGCTGCTGTGAGCAGCCTCGCCGCCTGGAGACGGGGCGGCCGCCGGGCTCCTCTCGCTGCTCTCGGTCCCGGGAATCCCTGGTGTTGGCAGAGCACTCGCTCTTCCTCTTACAAAGGTACCTGAATGCTGGCTTCTCCGCGCCCCTGATGCCGAGGGCCGAGGTGCCGGTGCCGGCTTCTCGGAGGCTGGGTCGCCTGCACGGTCACCTGTCCGGCCGGTGACAGAGGAGACTCCCAGTTTCCTGGCTCGGGTCACCTGGGGAGCACAGGAGGAGACACCTGCCCGGCCTGGTCCCCTAGAGCACGGCTGGGAACTGTCGGCGGTGGCGCGGCCGCGTGGGGCCGCTTTGCCCAGCACCACGTAAGGAAGCACCGCGCTCTGGCCTGGCTCTCAACTGAGCGTGAGGGGGAGGGGAGAGGCCCGAGGGGCGGGCCGGGCTGTCCGTCCTGCGTGTGGATGACTCTGGCCCACAGTGACAGGTAACTTGGAAGGATAGTAACCCCTCTTTCCCTTCAGAATGTGATGGGCGCTCGCCAGAGCCCGTTGGTCCCCAGCTCCCAGGGTGGTCTCCACGGGCATGGCTGAAACGGGACCAAAGGGTCGGACGGTGTTTGTAATCTTGGAAACCCGGCCAGTTACATGGGCTTGAGCTGCAGGCTCTTTCAAAGCAGCCAAGAGGCCGTGAACTCTGCGGCCGGAGCATCTGCCCGAGCCAGCAGACCTCAGACCAGTGGTATTCGCCGCAAGAAACGTTTCTGGTCTGGCAGTGGGCTCTTTGTCCTCAAGGGGCGGGGCTGCTAATCTGGCCCAGCAGCTCCCTGGGAGCCGGGACTGTTTTCCTTCGCAGAATTTCCTCTCTCCCATTGTTTTTGTTTTCTACTTTGTGCCTACTGAGCACTGGGCTGCCAGGCCTGGAATTGTAACTGACAGACGTGGGCTGGGCGGGCACCAGGGACAGGAGCCCAGTCCATAGACCAGGGTCAGTGACTTCCCTGCGGTTGCAGCAGGTGCCCCTGGAAACAGTGTCCGTGTGGCACTGCCTGTGTCCGTTCCTGGGATGTGCACCTGGAGGGATGGCAGGGCAGGGTCTGCACCCCGAGTCTGAGGAATCTGATGCCTGACCCCCCAGGGGCCCCGCTCCACACTCCCCCCCCCCCCTTCCTCCAAGGCAGCTGGGACTGGCTGTGCTGACCTGGTGGGTGAAGGGCAGGCCTGTGTACTTCACACTTCAGAGCTCACTGGTGAAGCAGACAGTTTTCAGCTATTTGTTAACGAGGCCCGGGGCACGGATTCATGCACATCGAAAGGACATTAATTAGAAGAAATATTGTAACTTCACTCTCCGCCCTTTATAACAGAAGTGTCAACCAAATTCACGATCGACAATGACAGATGGAAACACACACACGTGCGATTGGCGCCAGCGAGAGCTCTATGTGTATGGTGCATGCGCGAGTCACCTTAGCCTTTTATAGAACAAACTTGCTTCATTAGACCTGCTTTCTGATGCAGCTAAACTTTTTCCAGCCCAGTGAAGCACCCCAACTTCTCCTTCAGGTCATTGTCAG